TTGCAGAGGGACCTTGTAGGGAACACACAGCAGTGCTGCACTGGGGGGGCGTGGCAGACCCCGGAGGAACAGATGTGGGGGATGCTTCGCTGCTGTCCCCAGAGGAGGCAGCATGCTATGAGCTCTGGGCAGGGCCCGTCTCCACGTGCACACACCGCTGAGCTCCAGCCCCCACCCCGCTTCCTGTGCAGGGATTCTGTATGACACGTACCCGCTGTCCGAGGAGACCTGGCACACACACCAGTTCAACTTCATCAGGGTAGGACCTGCTTGGGGGGACGGTCACCCCCAGGGGTGAGTGCAGGTGGCTGCCATTCACACATGGAGCACCTCTCCTTCCTGTTTCTCCGTCCTGCTTGGGGGGTGGGAGGCCCCCTGGGCAGTGGCTTCTGTCCATACCCCAGACCTCCGTCCTGACCACTGTCCCTGCCCAGGGCCATGCCTTTCGCCTGCTGAAGCCTGGAGGCATCCTCACCTACTGCAACCTCACGTCCTGGGGGGAGCTGATGAAGTCCAAGTACTCAGACATCACCACCATGTTCGAGGTGTGGCAGCCCAGGAGCTCCCTGTGGGTCCCACGCCCCAGCCCCAAGCCAGGAAGCAACTTTGGGGCAGAGGCAGGAGTAGCCTGTGACCTGGGGAGGGTCCCTGGCCTCAGGAGCTGGTCTCCTGGGTGGATTGTGAGCCTCCACTTACAAGTCAGGTAAGGTCTCTCAGCTCAACGGCCTTCCGTGGCTCCCCAGTGCCCTCAAGACACAGGGATCCAGTCCAGGCTCTGCACCCAGGCATCCCGCCTCACTCTGCCCTCCTCCACCAAACAGGTCTATAGGTTTAGGTATGCCGTCCCTGCTGCTGGATGTGCGGTGGGCAGCCTCCTGGTGCCCCGCGAGAGTCTGGACATTGCTACCTGAGTTTAGACACCTGGAGGATGCCCACCCCAACTCGGGCTTCCTGGTTCTGTCAGTCAGCAGTCGGGCTGCTGTGTCCAGCTCCCAGGGGCCTTGGCAATTGTGAATGCCATTCTACGAAGGGTGGGCGCTGTGGGTGTCTCGTGAGGCCCCAGGGCCCTGCAAGCGACCTGGCGCTCCCCCCCTCCCCCAGGAGACACAGGTGCCAGCCCTGCTGGAGGCGGGCTTCAGGCGGGAGAACATCCGCATGGAGTTGATGGAGCTGGTCCCCCCTGCTGAGTGCCGCTACTACGCCTTCCCGCGGATGATCACGCCCCTGGTCACCAAGCACTGAGCCCACCCAGGCCTCTGGCTCAACTACTGATGTCCCTGTGCCCCCACTCAGTGCCTCTGCAGCCGGGAGTGCAGGCTCTGGGCTCTCAGCCCTGGGTTCGAGTCCGGCCACACCCACAGTGGGACAGAGGGTAAACTTCCCCAACCATCCCTGCAATGGGAATACCATGACCTCCCTGTCCGCATCCTTGAGGACAAAATAAATGCTGACCCTGGGCTTGCCCAATTAGCAGGACCGTGTGCTTTCACTGACTTCTGCCCCTCCAAAAAGTAAAAAAAACCAAAACACTATCTGTTAAACGGGCCCCCGGGGAGACAGGGGGCCACTCCGCACCACTACCTCTGAGCTGGCACGTGACCCTACACGCGATCCGCCCTGTGCCCACAGCAGACCCACAGGGCCAGTGGATTGTAGCAGACAACTCGTCAACCTCCTCCCTCAGCTGGCTGCTGGGGTACAGAGAGGGTGGCGCTCGTCAGGGCCACATGGCCACTGAGTCTCTGGTCCCACCCGGTCAGGTCAGGCTGAGAGCCTTGAAACAAAGCAAAACCTTTAAACCCAGCCGTGCTCCGCAGGACTCCCGCCTCACCCCTGGACATGGTGTTGCTCTTCTCACCACAGGCTCTTGGGCCCGTCCACTCCCCTCCTTCAGGGCCTCAGTGTCTCCGTGCACAAAAGAAAGGGCTGGGCCTGCCCAGGACAGCACTGACCTCTCACACCCCCAGAGCCCCACTACCCACCAGTCGCGCAGGGAGGGGGACGGGGAGGCCAGCTGGGTCTATCAGTTTATTGACCATCCTGAGGGGTGCTGCAGGGGCCGGAGGGGGCCGGCACTACCTGCGGTACCAGATCCTCAGCTTCTTCTCCCGCTTGATCTTCTTCTGCAGCTGCAGGATGCCGTACAGCAGGGCCTCGGCTGTGGGTGGGCAGCCTGTGGGTGGGACTGTGCCTCAGTTACCCTGCTGGCAGGGAGGGGGCGGAGCTCCTCCCAGACCCTGGGAGGGCAGCCAAGGCCCCCCCAGATTCTGGGACCTGTGCCTGTCCTCCCTGCTGGGGCCACGGACCGACCCCCTGCCACTTGGCAAAGGGTGCCTTGGTCAGGATGGTCAAAGGGCGCAGCTAGGCGCAGCAGCTGGAGGCCAGATGGGGCCCTGGGACGAGGAGGGGGCAGCAGCGCCATGTCTGCTGCGGGCCCCTCTCCAGCACCTCTAGCTTGTACTGCCCAGGCTGGGGGTTTGGCTCATCACAGGGAAGGAGCCGCCGAGTTCCTGACCCCGGCAGTCAAGCCTCGGGCATGGGGAGGACTAGGCTGCCCATCCTGGGCCCAGCTGCCCTGTCCGCTACCCCCATGACCTGGCTCAGGACCTCGGGAGGACAAGGGCGCGTGGCCCTTGTGGCGGTGGGCCCTTGGAAAGCAGGGAGGGAGGGGGGAGTTGAGGGGGCAGAGCAGCCAGGCTGGGCAGGGAGGCCCACATGGCCCACGGGAGGGGAAGCCCTGGAGAAATGCTCCCCTACAGTCCCCATCCCCACCACCCTGCCAGAAGAAGCAGACAGAGAGGTCACCACCCAGGGGACCTGCCCAGGACCCGAGGGGCCTGGAAGAGCAACCACAAGCATGTGCGGCCCTGGGCCCAGCACCAGGCAGTACCGCCCCGGTACCGCCCCAGCACCCGGCAGCACCGCCCCAGCACCGCCCCAGCACCCGGCAGTACCGCCCCAGCACCGCCCCAGCACCAGGCAGTACCGCCCCAGCACCGCCCCAGCACCGCCCCAGCACCCAGCAGTACCGCCCCAGCACCGCCCCAGTACCGCCCCAGCACCGCCCCAGTACTGCCCCGGCACCGCCCCAGCACCGCCCCAGCACCCGGCAGTACCGCCCCAGCACCACCCCAGCACCGCCCCAGCACCGCCCCAGCACCACCCCAGCACCACCCCAGCACCGCCCCGGTACCGCCTGATGGAGGGGCCGGGGCCCTGCGGAGATCTGCCCCCGGGCACATACCCCGAAGGCAGCTGAGCAGGGCCTGGTCTCACTCTGCAGGGTGGAGTCCCAGGTGCCCTCCCCCACCAGACGGGCCCTGGCCCCCCACAGTGGGGGTCGGCCTGGGGCCTGGCGGTGTCTAAGGCCCTCAGGAAATATCCGTAGAACGCTAAACAAATCACCACCATCCAATGTCCTTTTGAAGGGCACCAGAACGTGACCTCTAAACTTTCCTGGGCAACCTGGAATCAGGGTCTTGAGTGTCCTCTGCTCTCCGGGCCTCGGGTTGGGCTTTCCACGGGGCACTGAGAGCCCAAGAACATGGGGCCTTCATCTGCAGGCTAAGCACCACCCGCTGACCCCTGACCTCTGACACAGTGTGGGCAGAGGCCCTGGGGCCCGAGGGTGGCCAGCCGAACACGGGCTTCAGACAGACGATCGGTACTTATCCAGTATGAACGTGTCGCAAACATTCCTTGCTTTCCGGACAGAAGTAACTGGGGACCCTGCATTTTTATTTGCACAGTCTGACCACCCTGGTGATCTGGGGTCCAAGGCAGGCCCCGTGCACACCGGTCCTGGTCTCCAAGAACCAGGCTGTTTTTTAACTGTGTTGTGTGGGTTTTGTGTCTATTAGGTGGAACCATGTGAAGCGTGGTTTAAAGAAAGCCGAGGACCCGCAGTCCCACCCAGCTCATGCTAAGCCTTCGGCACCAGCCTGGGCCCACGTCTGCATAAAACCCAAGACTCTTCAGCAGGGGAGACCTTCAGGGGACAAGGGAGGAGGAGGCTGGGGCTTCACTCTTCTGCTTGGACCTACATCTGTTCATCCTGAGAAGGGGGGGAGCCCACCGCCTCTGTGGGGGCGCGGGGGCCTGTGACATGGGACGGGTGGGCTCACCTGGGACGTAGATGTCCACGGGCACGATGCGGTCACAGCCCCTCACGACGGAGTACGAGTAGTGGTAGTAACCTCCTCCGTTGGCACAGCTGGGGTGGGGGGAGCATGGTGAGGGCCACACTGGCCACCCCCAGCCCTGTCCCCAACGCACACCTGCCTTCAGGTTCAAACAGGTGCCAGGAATGGGCAGGAATGGGATGTGGAGTCCCAGAGAAGAGAACGAGGGCTTCTGCGGGATCAGGGAGAGCAGAACCAAATGGACGGACCCCGAGCCCACGACACTCAGATACTCGGGGAGGGAGCCAGACACAGAAGGCCACACGGGGTGTGCGTCCACGTGGGTGACACTCCCAGAACAGGCTCATCCGCGGACGGGAAGGGGGCTCTCGGGGGCAGGGGCTGGGGGGAGGGTGACAGCTGATGGGGCAGGGTTTTCTTGGAGGATGATGGAATGTTCTGGGACTACGGGCTACAGCTGACAGCACCGTGACTACATGGACCATCACGGAACCGCGCACTTGAACAGGGCGGACTCTGTGGCCCGAGTTCTACCTCAGAACAGTGAGGTGAGGAAGCAGCTGCTGGTGGCGTGGGGAAGGGACTGGGCGCCAGGAGGGCGAGGAGCGTGCAGACAGCCCACAGAGCAGGGCACCACTTACATCCATGAAGCAGGAACAGGGACAGAACAGGGGTGACGCTGAGTGGCACAGGGGGGGTGCCCTGGGGGGGGGTGCCGCCCTGGGGAGGGGCCGCAGGGTGTCCCGAGGGCACAGATGCCCCCTGTGACCGCGGCAGAGGGAGCGGAGATGGGCAGGAGGCGCGCCAGCGTGTCGCGGGCACTCACCTCCCCATGGACACAACATAGCGCGGCTCTGGCATCTGGTCATACACCTGGAAGAGACGGCGGGGTCTGGGTGCGGCTCGAGGCTGGGGGCGGGTGGCGGGCCTCGGGGCCGGGCCTACCTTGCGGAGCGCCGGGGCCATCTTGTTGGTGAGCGTGCCGGCCACGATCATCACGTCGGACTGGCGCGGGCTGGCGCGGAAGACCACGCCAAAGCGGTCCATGTCATAGCGGGGCGCGGCCATGTGCATCATTTCCACAGCACAACACGCCAGGCCAAAGGTCATGGGCCACAGGGAGCTCTGCGGGGGCAGGGTGCTCAGCCCGGGGGGGATGGTATCTGCCCCAGCTCAAAGCCCATCAGTCAGGCCTTCCGACGGCAGCCAAACCACTTCCAGGCCCCGAAGGGCCCTCAGATGGTGTCACGGCCCAGTGTGCTCAACAGGAAGGTAAAGCAAGCTACACCTGTGGGTCAACACTTCCCAGCAGCCACGTTACCAAAAAAGTAAAGAACCCAAGCCCAGGTGAAATGAGCTTTACTGACATCGTTCACATAACCCAGCATGTCCTAGATCCCATCCTTCAGACACAGACACCGCTCCCAGTGCCTGGAAAGCCACACGTGGTACAGGTTTAGACCCTGGGGCTCAGCCCCTGCAAGGGGCTCCTTCCCAACACTTCCTAATGTCCAGGGACTCCCAATGCCTATTCGTCCAGGAAGGCCTCCTGGATGCCTCTGGCTGCCCTCTGACCACTGCCTCCATCCATCCAGTGGCTCCTTTCTCCTGCTGAACGCCTCTGCCAGAGCCTTCTCTGCTCTCTCTCTCCGCCTAGTCGGGGACCTGGAATGGGTCCTGCCCGCCCCACTTTGTGCTAAAGCGGGCCACCGGGCTTGGGCTACACAGGGGGCTGACCCTGACAGCCTCTCAGATGCGCAGTTAGGACCAACACTGCAGGGGACACCCGGCGGGACGCTCGCCATGGCCCCATCAGTTACAGAGACACACAGGAACGGCCTGCTCCTGGGCACCCCCAGCACACCAAGAGGAGCCACTGCCCTGTGAATCGGGGGGAGACAGACGTGCACACAACACGCAGACCGTCCCCAGTGAGTACCGGGGGTGGGGGAGTGTTTTCGGGTTTTTCCCAGGAAGGAGCCACTGTTCTAGGTACACACTACTTTCCCAGTTAAAATCACTTCTGCATCAGAAGAGAATAAACAGACACAGGAGATCCGCAGAGGGGAGGCAGGGCATCTTCCCTGGGGGTGGAGGGAGAGACCAGGAAGCATGGCACGGGCACTGAGAGGACATCAGGGCCAGCAGCGGACAGGGGCAGGTGTGCACGTGTGTGAGCATGTGTGAGCATGCGGCAGGAGGCCTGAATGACGCGGGAGGGGTCAGGGGCTCACCCGGCGGGCCCAGTTGATGAGGTCATCCAGCTTGGCCACCACATACTCGCCTCGGCTGCTGGGAAGTGCGGAGGATTTGAGGGCCAGGGTTCCAGCCGTGGACGCAGCGGGCTGGGTGCTGGTAAGAACACATGGCAAGGGGAGGGGGGGGCATTAGCCAGGCAGGCACCTCAACACCCCCACCGCACGTTTGAGCCCAGAGCCCCCTCTCAGAGGGCCGCAGCAAGCTGGGGCATGAGCTGCTCTGAGGAAGCACTGGTAGGAGCTGGGCTGCCAGGGTCAGAACAAGAATGAACTTTTGACAGCTGCCCTGCTGTGGCCCCAGCTGGCCTCTGTCCCCGAGGAAACTTGGCCTCCCCATGCGGAAAGCAGGAGCTCTGCTGAGACACTATCAACGGCCCTTCTGGTCTAGGGACGTGCAGCCGTTGCCTTGGACATGCAGGAGGGGGCTGGGCAAAGCTCCGAGGGCAGGGACCCATGCTGCATCACCCTGATGGTGGAGGGAGGGCCCTGGAGTCACCGGGGCTGCCGCGGTGCCAAAGGGAGGCTTTAGGGTGCGCAGGATCCCAGGAAGGCTGGCCTCACCTGCTGGGGCTGTCAGCAGCCACGCCTGAGTGGACGCCACGCACCTGTGTAGCCACGGCCACGCCGGAGCTGCAGGGAGAGGGGGTGCAGGTGAAAAGGAGCCTGGGGTGCCCTGAGACGTTGTGACAGAGGCTACACTGGAGCAGGGATGGGGAAATTTCACCCAGGGGGCCAAATCTGGCCCTCTGCCTGCTGTTGTAAATAAAGTTTTATTGACATGCAACCACATCCACCCGTTTCTGCCTATCTCAGCTGTTTGCACAAAGGCAGAGCTGAGTAGTCTCCACAGAGCCAATCTGGCCCTTCACGGAAGGTCTGCTGAGCCCTGTCCAGAAGGAGTCTGGTTTTCATCTCCTAGTTCTCTCATTTCGCCTTTATTTTACAGTGACTGCGTTTGATTCCTAGAGAAAAGGTCTTCTCAAAACAAGGCAGCAGAGTCAGTCCAAACCCAAGCGCTCCCCGAAGCCTCCCATCGCCCCTCCATCCGGAAGACCCTCTCCTGAGATCTGCCATGTGCTCATGACGCTGGAGATTTCATTTCTGGGCTCTGTCCACTGAGAGGGCACGGGACTACCTGCCTCCCTGTCCTGAGGAGGCCTACTTGAGGCCGCCACCTGAGCAAAGGCACCAACCGCCTTCCTGCAACACGAGAGTGAGTTGTGAGGGAAGGAGGGCAGGCAGGCACGGTCTGAGCGCAGGCTTTACCACCACCTGGACTGTCCCCGCGGGGAGGCCTGCCACCACCTGCAAGACTGCTGGACTATGTGACCTTCAGCAGGCGGGCCCCCGCCTAATGCTGCTGAAGGGCTCCCCAGCTCCGCGGTGCTCTGATGCACCCCCACCCCCCACCGAGCCCTCCCCGGCAGGGCCCGTGTGGTGGGGGAGACGCAGACACTCACCGCAGAGCAAGGATCCGGAAGAGCAGGCCCGGAGCTGCTGAGAGAACCACACGGTGCAGGCAGTGAGTTGCAGGCGACAAACCCTGGTGGGGCCCAGCCTCCAGGAGTTTGCCCATGAGCCCTACGCCTGGCACGTCCTTCCGCTTACCCTTGGTCTATCTAAATTCCACTTAACCTGGTAAAAAGGGGTCTTTCAGGATGTGCCCCACACAGTGTCCCTACCCTGCTTAATATCCCACACCCTGAAAAAAAGGCCACACCACACCCGGGCCATCCTCCCTTTCCTCCTGCATGTCAGGGTCGCTCCTGCCTCAGGGCCTTTGCACCTGCAGTCCCCGCTGCCTGGAGCACCCTGCCCCACGCGGGCACGTGCCAGCCCTTCTTACGGGCAGGTTTCGGTCAGTACCACCCATCCCCCCCGGGCTCTCTGGATGCGGGCACCGGCTGCACCTCCACCTCTGTGCTGTGCGGTGCCTGTCTCTCCCAAGACGCTAGGGCCTCGCTGCGGTGCCTGTCTCTCCCAAGACGCTAGGGCCTCGCTGGGGTCCCCGGGGTCCTCTGCTGTGCCTGGCGCGCTCCCGGCCCTGGGCTGGCGTTGACAACCAAGTTCCCGGCCGGGCCCCGCTCCGGTGCGCGCCGCCCGTCCCTCCCGGTGCCTCGGGCGGAAATCCAGGTCTGGGGGTGCGCTTGCTGCACAGTCAGCGCCCTTCCCCTCGGACGGGCCGCTGGGTCTCGCCGCCCCGGACCCCGACGGCGGTCCCCCCCAGCACCCCCAGCCCTCGTACTCCGTGCGTTTAACCGCCGCACGCCGCGCTGGGAGCCCCGGAGGCCTCAGTTTCCCCGCCGCGGCCGCCCCGCTCACCCGCCGGCGCCGCCATGTCCGCCTCGGCCTTCAAACAACCTCTGCGGTCCGTCCGCCTCAGCGCTCCGGGTCCCCAGGCGCGGCTGCCAAAGCGGCTCGGCTGCTGCGCGGAGCCCGGGCCCCGGCCCTGGGACGTTCCGCCTCGGTGGGCTGCCCGCTGCCGCGCGCCCCCGGACGCCCCCTCCCCGGGGCGCGCGGGCCTGGGGTGCGCGCGGAGCGTCCCGGCATGAAGCGGGGGCGCCGCTCGCCCGCTCCTTACCTCAGGAGCAAAAGTTCAAAACAGCGTCCCTGGGTGGGCTCGAACCACCAACCTTTCGGTTAACAGCCGAACGCGCTAACCGATTGCGCCACAGAGACGGCGCTGCGGCCCGGCGGCCCCTGAGCTTCTATGAGGCGCGCGCCGCCGAGGGGCCAGGCGCAAGCTGCGGCGGCGCGCGGGCGGCGCGGCCCGAGCCGGACTCGGGGCGACGGCAGCCCCCTGCCGCCCAGCCGAAATAGCTCAGTTGGGAGAGCGTTAGACTGAAGATCTAAAGGTCCCTGGTTCGATCCCGGGTTTCGGCAGCTGTTTTGGCGCTCCGGCTCCCGGCCTCTCCTTCCCCAGCCTGCCACCCACTCCGCAGACGAGGGGCGGGGCCGCTGACTCAGGCCCACGTGGGGGAGGAACGGAGCCCTCCAACCCCTGCCTCCACCCCCAGACCATGATTCCGGCCCCAACGTGGACTCCAGCCCGATTCCCACTACTTCTTACGCGGTAGGATTAGAACAAGCGCTAATTGTTAAGAGTTCGCAAGAACACCTGCCGCTTGTAGGCCCCCTAATTCTTGCAATCCTGCTGGATTTTACACTTGGGGGAAACTGAGGCTCACACAGGCAAGCGCAGGCGAGCGGCAGGCCGGCCTCCTGGCAGGACCACTCCGGCCCCTGAACCCCTGCACAGCCCACCTGGTCTCGCTCCCGGGGATCTCCAGGTCCCGGGTGGGAGGTGAGGGGCCCCTTCCCCTTTCCTTCCCGCTCCCCGCTAGCCTGTGGAGCTGGATTTTGTAACTTACTTAACTAAACTTTGCATTTTCACAGAAAAGTTGCCGACATAGTAGAGTTCCTGTGTGCCCAGCACCCAGTTCCCCTCCTGTTAGCAGCTTACACGGCTGGGCACGTTTGTTGCAATTCATGAACCAAAGTGGATGTTACTGAAGTCTGAGCTTTATGCAAGTTTTCTGTCCGCCCATAACGTCCTTGCCCTGTGAGTGAGGGACCCTGGACTGAGACCCCAGCCCCAGCTGAACTTTCAGATGACGCAGCCCTGGTGACATTCGACTGGCACCTCATGAGACCTGAGCCACCCAGCCGGGCTGCTCAGTGAATTTCCAATCCCACCGGAACCACGAGAGAGCGTCTTCTCCAGCTGCTAGGTCACAAGAGAGAACGCTGCGAGGGGCCAATGGGCCCGGTCAAGGCTGCTTGACGGAGAGGAGGGGAGGTGGACCGTGAGGTCAGGGAGGTCTGAGCCAGCCTCCTGGGAGAGCCCTGCAGTGGGAGGCCGGCTGGGGGAGTGAACCCGGGAGCAGAGCAGAGGGTTGGGGAGGGAGTGGGGAGGGGAGCAGAGTAGGGAGGAAGGACAGCATGCACCAGGCACCTGGCTCAGGAACCAGGCCAGTGGGGGCGGTGATTCAGGAACTGGGGGTGGGAGGGATGGACTATTTCTTGTGCAGGTATGCTTCCCTGAGGTTTCAGATTCTTACCGTATAGTGAATTACTTTTTTTTTTAATTTTTTTTTAAAGATTTTATTTATTTATTTGAGAGAGAGAATGAGAGATAGAAAGCACGAGAAGGAAGAGGGTCAGAGGGAGAAGCAGACTCCCTGCTGAGCAGGGAGCCCGATGCGGGACTCGATCCCGGGACTCCAGGATCATGACCTGAGCCGAAGGCAGTCGCTTAACCAACTGAGCCACCCAGGCGCCCGAATTATTTTTTTTTAAACGATTTTATTTGAGAGAGCGAGCACACGTGTGCGGGCATGGGGGTGGCACGGAGGGAGAAGCAGACTCCCCATTGAGCTGGGGCCCGACTGGGAACTCCATCCCAGGACCCCGAGATCACGACCTGAGCCAAAGTCAGACGGCCAACCGAGTCACCCACATATCCTGTGAATTGTTTTTTTTTTTCTTTTAAGATTTTATTTTTTAAAGATTTTATTTGGCAGAGATCAAGCGAGCACAAGCAGCCCAACTGGAGGCTCAATCCCAGGACCCCGGGATCATGACCAAAGCCAGAGGCAGATGCTTCACTGAGCCACCCAAGCACCCCTAGATTTTATTTTTAAAACAATTCTATGTCCAACATGGGGCTCTTACAACCCCAAGATCAAGAGTCAAACGGTTCACCAACTGAGCCAGCCAGGCACCACCCCTACCCCCCCACCGCCCCTGCCCTGTGACTTTTTTAAAAATCAGTTTTTTAGATAAGCAATAGGGCTTGAAGAGGGGCCAAGGCGTGTGCAATGACAGTCCCCCTCTCGGACAGCGGGGCTGCTGGTGTGTGGTGACCACAGGTACAAGGGGTGGGATCCTTCCTTTGCGTCGTCGTCGGGCTGGAGTGAGAAAAGCAAACCAACTTGACGAGCAGCTTCTGCAGGGCCTTGGGGTCTGGATGGGCAGCAGTTCAGAGAAGGGGTGGGCTGGGGGCGGTGGGAGGAGGGGAGGGCAGGGGGTCAGGGGTCAGCAGGGAGGCCACACGGAGGCCAGCGAGCTAGAGCCCAGAGGGAAGGGGCAGAGGTGGGGCATGGGAAGGAGGCAAAGATGGTCATGGGTTTGGGGGGGGCTCCTGGCATTGAGGGGTGGGGTCCAGGATGCTGCCCGACCCCCTGCAGCACCCAGGACGGCCGTCGGAGAACGACCCGGCCTGGTGTCTGCAGCGCCGAGGGGGAGACTGGAGCAGGGGTGAGGGGTGAGGGCTGACAGAAGCCTCGCGGTGGAGAACAGGACGCTCTGCTGGGGGCAGTCTGTGTCTCAGAGGCTTGTGCGGTGCGTGCTTCTCCACGGGCCCCCACGGGGCCGCCAGCTGCCGGGCCCCGCGCCCCTCACACCGGCCCGGCGGCCTTAGGACAAGCACCCTCAGGATCCCCCCAACAGGGGGGGCAGGCCCGGTTGCAGGTGGGGCTCCGGCGGGCATTTAACACGGGTCTGGACAGGCTGACTGCCGGCGGCCCACCTCAGCCACCGCATCGAGCACGTCCAGGGGTGGACGGAGCCATCAGGCTCTCCCAGAAAGGGGCACGGCCTGCTTTGGAGACAATGTCGGGCTGTTCTCTGTGGGGGAAGCGACCAAGCGGCCTGGCCTCAGGCTCCACGGTGGATGGGAACCACAGACCCTCTGTGGTTCCAGCCCCGCGGTCCCAGGCCAGGCTCGCCCCCCTCCACCAGGAGGATTCTGGGGCCATCTCCCGACCTCTCCCGCTGCACACCTGACCCGTGGTTTTGTGTATGGCCTGGGCCTCTGCCTGCTCAGACAGCCCCTTCTCAGGGCCCGAGCCCGCCCGCCTCCCAACAGGCTCTCCGTCTAAGCCCCCACTGTAGGGGTTGCTGACCCCGCCCAGGGCCTCGAGCTGAACCTCCTGACCGTGCACCCACACTGCGCACTCTCTCAGCAGCTTAGGATAAAGAGTTCATTTGAGCATGGCTTTGACAGGCCACAGAATTTCTGTGACTGGGTCAGGACAGGCCACGGCAGGTCTCCAAAGGCCAGGGCTCGTGCTGGGAACCCTCCGGCACCAGGGTGACCCACCAGCTGCCTCCTTTTCTGGGCCTGGGCAGGAACGTGAGCCTGGCCTCCAGGCAAAGGCCTTGCTCCTGCAGGAGCCGGTCCCCACTGCCACCCCACGGCCGCACACACAGTGACTGAGGTGGCTACGGGTGGGGGGTCCTGCCCTCCGGGGAGACCGCACTCAGCACTGGACCAGATGCGGCCACACGTGAACATCCACACGGGACCAGGGGGTGGGTGGGAAGCGGTCGCTGGAGGGTCCCGCCGCACGTGTTCTCCGGCACAGGGAAGGTCAGCGGAGCTGAAACGCGAGGAAACGCGTGCGGCACCGTGGCCTCAAGAGGAGGGAAACACGGAAACACACGCGTGTTCTGGAGGAATGCATTCACAGAGGCTTTCTTAAAACTCCTGTTTAATATTGGATACAATGCTTTTTAACAAAAAAACAAATGTGCACCTTTTATTAAACAATGCAGTCACAAGTAATGATATGCAATAAAATAAAACACATTTTCGTTTCAAAATCAGGAACTCTACCTTCCACAAAAGCCAGGAAAGGAGCACCCACAGATGAGAAGGAGCACATTCCGGGCCCCCGTCCTGCAGACTGCACTCGCCCCAGCCACGGGACCCGCGGCGGCCCCTCCAGCATCAGCACCGCTGACTCCTCTCTTCTAGGAGCTGGTTATCAAATATTTCCTTTTCCCTTCAGAAAGCAAAAGGAGACAACCTCATTTAGTAATTCATCTTGTCTTAGAATATGAAACAGACAAGTCCGTGCTTCGTGAGGACAGAGTCTCCGTGTGGGGAGATGGGACCTTCTGGAGACGGAGGGTGGGGGTGGCCGCAGGGCCATGCGAGTGTGCCTCATGCCACTGAGCTGCGCACTTAGAGACGATTACGATAGGACATTTTACATCATGTGCATTTTACCACAATTTATAAAAAAAAAATTAACACTTTTTAAGGAGTGTGAACTTTCAAATCGTCCTCATTAAGCAACTCCTTGACGCTAAGAATTACATTAACGGGTGTTTGGGGCACCCCCCTCCCCAGGGTTGACGACAGTAACAAAGAACACTGACTGGGACAGCAGATAGCTCAGGCGAAGACGAGGCCACTTGGCGGGTACCCCCAACACGTCACCACAAGCTGAGGGCAGGGGCCGGCCGGCTGGCACTCAGTTAGAGGCCAGGTCCCTGGAGTCCAGAGCAGGTGGCCCGTGCCATCATCGGCACAGCCATCACGCCCACAGGGCACCCGACGCGTCCGTGGCTGGTCAAGAGCAGCGGCAGTGCGTGAAGACAGACAATCGTCCTCACAGGCACAGGCCAGCCCCTCGGACGTGGAGGAGGAAAT